TTTTTTTTTTTTTTTTTTTCCAGCTAATCATTTAGCAATAATTTGTCGTTATATGTATAAAAAAATTTTTTTCTACAAATTACACGCACCCTTTTTTTTTAAATATATTTAATTCCATCAAAATGCCCTTATCGATTACAACAATTGTAATATTAATAGTAAAGATAAAAATCGAAATCAAAGCAGAAAATAACAATAACAATAACAGTAAAAATAATAATAATGATAATAAAAATAATAATTTTTTGTTGTTTCTTTTTTACAGCAATAATGGAGCATTAGTTTCAGGTAAATTTTGTTGTTTCTGCTCAACCACTCAATTGTAACATCAAAAAAAAAACCAGCAAAATAGTGATTGAAGAAAAATAATAATAAAAAACTAAAAATGAAAACTAAAACGAAATTCACATGCGACATTTTAACCGTCAAAAGGCGCATAGATGGATAAATGAATGGATAAAGAGATGGATGGATGGATGGACGGATGGATGGATGTATGGATGGATGGATACTTGATCAAAAATCTGATGCATTAAGCCAGTCGTATGCAATTTCTGTTTCAAAATTCGTGACTGCCGACCTCTCTATATGGCTTTTTATTGACCGATATGGTTATATATATATTGATATATATAAATATATATATATATCTGTCAATGAAGCAATATGCATAGATTTACTGGGACCCTGTTGATGATTTTCCCATCAAACAAACGGATGTCGTTTAAAAAACCTGAAGATTGCCAAACCATTGAAACCATCAGAAATGCTGGCAGCATCAATGAATCGGGTGGCGTATAACGGGCAGCAGCAGCGTTTATCAAGTAAAACTAAAGCCGATTTGAAGAAATATGGAGGAAAAACTTTTCTTTTCTGATTATTTATTTTAAGTATTGTTATTGCTGTACTTTTATTTTCATTTTTTTTTTTTTGCACAAATTTTCCTTCTACCAGTTTTGATGTGAGTACTATTGGTGTTTCTGCTGCTGCCTCTACAAAGCTGATACTGATGCACTGATACTGTTGGTGCTGCTGTTTGCTCCTCTTCGTTCTTATGAACATATCCTATTTATTTTTTTAAATTGTCATTCGTTCCTCTTTTTTTTCCTCATTTTTTGGTTCCGGTAACTTTTTTTTTTTTTTATTTAACCAAAAATATTTGTTGTGAAAAAAAAAGAAGACTTACAGTTGGTTTAAAAATAGTGATATTCGTATTCAGTTTGGTTTTGGTTTTGATTTTTGTCGGTTTCTTTACATTCATCTTTTTTTTCTTGCTGGTTTTCTTTCTTTTTCTTTTCCGTTGTTTTTATTTTCTTTTTTTTTTATAATAGTTTCTTTTCAGATACGAATAGAATTTGGACTTTTTTGTTGTTTTGATTGTACTCAACAAACCTGATCAAAAACAAATTTATATAAATAAGTAGGCTTTTTAACAATACAAAAAGTGTTAACATCTAAAAAATCAATTATTTGT